TCTGAGTTCAGGGACAGCCTGGTCTAAGCATAGAAACCCTGTCTCTATGCAGCCATGTGTGAGCATTGCATGCCTATGGAGAGGCATTACTGTTTCAAAGTCTACCTGTGTGGAAACTTTAAAGCTGTTTGTTTTCTTAGTTCTATATCTCGCTACGTGCTTTTGCTATTAATTTGAAACTTTTCTTCTTTGGTTGGTTGGTTGGTTGGGTTTTCTGAGAGTGAATCTCACCATGTTGCCTAGCCTGTGCCCTGGGGTCAAATAATCTTCCCACTGCAATCTGGTAAATAGCAGGAACTACAGGTATGTGCCACTGCATCCAGCTTTTAATCCAGCATTTAATTTGAACCTTTTTGTATCAAGTCCCTTCTGTCTCAAACTGAGCCAATGATTTCGGAAGGGGTATTGTTGGGTTTGGTTTGGTTTTTTTGTCAGGTTGCTTTGACTTTGAGAAAGGAATGACTGGGATATGGTGAGTGGTTGTTTGAGTTCACCATTTTGGAATAGAAACCATTTCACTGGTAGTCTTGACTGTGACCACCAGTCCTTGGCATTATATCCGGGTTTTTTTGTTTGTTTTTTGTTTTGTTTTCTTTTTGGACTTGACGTGGTGTTCCCTAGGTTTATGTGTAAGATTTTAGACAATTCTGAAGCCATTTCTGACCATTCTAAACCTCTCAGGCTCTGTGCCTCAGTGCTTCCCCTCCTCCCCTGGGAATCAAGGAGCTAACAGCTACACATGCACGTACTCACTTCCTGAACAATTACCCATATATGTATGTTTTGACTCAGTCCCCTGGGAAACGGGATCAAAATGACCTCTTACCTCCTCTGATCTGACAATAGTTCTCCAGTCAATTATTGGTGTTAGCCCTTTTCAAATAAGCCAATCATAATGGTCAAGGAACAACCCCTCTTGTTTCTATGGGGCCTTCTCCTTTAAAAGTAGACTGTACCAGCTAGTCAGGGTCTCTCGGCTTCCCAAAGGCTTAGGGACCCTGTCATGACTGAATTAATAATATCCTCATGCTTTTTCATCGGCTGTGGTATATGAGGTGGTCTCTGGGGGTGACTCCTTCTTGGTTTGGACACTAGAGTCCAACAATGTTCCCCCATATTAGTGTTTGAACCTCTTTTATTCTGTGTAAGTACTATTCAACTGAACCGCACTTCCCAGTCCTGATGATGCCTTTGAAGATTCTATGTTTTGTTTACCCCTTCCTCATTGGTTTCAAATTGCATTCATAAACATTAGGGAAAAATTTCCACCTTGACAATATTTAACATTATCATTTGGGCAAGTTTTAATTTTCTAATTTATTCATCTCTGTTTCTTCAGTAAGATAATAGCTTTCTTAATATCAAGTACCATATTGTTAAGTTCCTTTTGTTTTGATGTTTTCTTAACTATATTTCTACATTATTAATGCTGAGACTTGTAGTGATTTTTCAAGACTTTCTAGTCTCACTACTCTTAATGAACTATCTTACCCGATTCTAAATTATTTTCTATTACTACCACTGTTTGTAAAGAAAGGGGTTTTTGGTATTTAGTCATGATATATTCAAATAAAAGGTAGTGTTTTCCCTACAGAAGTGGATCTGCTATCATCTCAAAAGTGGCTTTTGAAGACAGGCTTAGTGATTCTGGCCTGTGATCTCAGCTAATTAGGAAGCTAAGGCAGAAGGATCACAGGCACCTTTACTTACAGGTGATTCTACAAAGAGAGGTTTAGGCCAGCCTGTGGAACTTAGACCCTGTGTCAAAACAAAAAGGAAAAGAAAACTTAAGAATAGCTCAGTGATAGGTTGCTGGTCTAGCATACATAAGACTGGTAATTCACTCCCCCCCCACCCCGCATGAAGTTGCTGCTGGCTGGTGATGGAACAGAGTGATAGGGAGCTTGTCTAAGCACGTATAAGTACTGGCATAACGGTTGGAGGAACAATTGAAAATATTCCTTTAAAATATTATTTTTATTTATTTATGTGTGTGAATCTCTGTGTGAGGCCAGAAGAGAGCATTGGGTCCACTAGAACCAATGTCACAGGCATTTGTGAGCCATGCAACACGGAAGCTGGGAAACGAACTTGAGTCCTCAAGAAAAGCACCAAGTGCTCTTAACAATTTGAGCCCTCTCTCCAGTTCTGAAAATGTAATCATTCTCTTCACCTCCATGTATAGTATATGATTGATGGCTTCTACTTGTCCACTATTTGTTATTTTGCTCTGATTCCAAATTGCTTCATAACATTTTAAAAGTGGCTTTATAGTTTCTCTCATTCTTCACTGTGCCTCTTTGCTCACTTAGCACACAGTCTGTCTGCATAGCAGCAGTTTGACCATGGCTGCATCTCTTTTAGAGGCTAAATGACAAGGTTGCATGTGCTCCAAAATAAGTTTTGGTTGGGGTCTGGCTTGGACTTCTCTGCCCTGAGCAATGCTCAGAAATAGTACTTTGTTAGAGAATACCACCTTCACCTAGTGGGGGCTCCATTCTATTGCTTTAGATGAAGACCCTGTCTCAAAACAATGTTAGCAAGGGGCTTGAGAGATGACTTGGTTAAGAGAACTTCCTACCTACCCTTCCAGAGAACCAGAGTCCCAGCACCTACTCCAGGTAGCTCTCAATTACCTGTAACTCCAGCTACAGGGAGTCCAGTGCCCTCTTCTGACCTTGCAGTACACTGTATATATAATAACAAATCTTTAAAAAAGAATGAATATTACAAACTATCAGCTCCACTAATCTAATGTGTTGTTTGTGTACCAATTAGATTTATCGTGCCATGAAAGAAAGAGCACCTCTATTTGATGATGGGCAGGCTTGGGGAGAAGACAGTGAAGATGGTATAAAACATAATAAGGTACTATATATTACTATTAACAATATATAAAGAGGATGCTTTTATATTCTTCACTAAAAGGTATTCTCTTTTAGAATTTGCCTTTTGTTTTCTAGGAAATTTCTGAGTTTGATTTTTTTTAAAACCAGATTTAATTCATGAATTTTTCCTGTGTAAAATCCCTCATGTGGTGGCCAGAGCTGGAGCCTATGTCCTGTGAGCAGAGACTCTGTTGTGAGTTTTCACAGATGGTCAAGGAATTCCCGATAGGGAGACTTGATGAAGATAGTCTTTTTCCGGAAGTTAGGGGTCAGGTAGCTGTATGTCATGGAGATGGCCTCAAAAGTGGCCTTGGCAAGGTTGCCCAAATTCTTACTACATATTCCTGACTGCCCTAGAACTTTCTATGCAGACCAGGCTGCTCCTGACTCAAAGAGATGTCCCTGCTTCGCTTCCAAATGCTGGGATTGACAACATGGAAAGCTATTCCCAAACAAAATGCTTATAAAATAGATCAATCTAAAGGAAAATATTTTTAGTAAAATAAAATGGTTCTGGGGCTGGAGAAATGGCTCAGAGGTTAAGAGCATTGACTGCTCTTCCAAAGGTCCTGAGTTCATTTCTCAGCAACCGCCTGGAGGCTCACAACCGTCTGTAATGTGATCTGGTGTGCTCATCTGGCATAGAGGTGTACAGGGAGAAAAAATATTAAATACATAATAAGTAAATAAATCGTTTTTAAAAAATGATCTTTTAAAAATATATTGAGTGTGCCTACTATTGAAATGACCTTATAACTTCCTAAATTACTAAACACAAAAATTTTAAAATGTTAACTGAAAAATGCTAATTTAATCATGTGCACCCCTTTAATCCCAGCACTCAGGAGGCAGAAGCAGGCAGACTTCTGTGAGTTCATGGCGAGCCTGGTCTGTATAATAAATCCCAGACTAGCCGGGGCTACATAGTGAGACCTGTCTCAAAAAGAAAAACAGAAAAAAGGAAAGAAGGAAAGAAAAAGAATAAAGAAATGTATTGGAACTAATATATGTGTTATAGATCAACTTCCTTTTCCTCCTGATTCTTACTTTAATGTAATTATTTGTCAAGACAAAGCATAACTATATGGTGAGCAGAGGGGTTAGGGAATTGCTGGAACTTGAATTCCCGGCACCTCATGGCAAAAAGGTCCTCATAAATGGTTCAGACTGGCCTAAAACTACTCTGTACTCAAGGAAAGCCTTGAACTCACAAACCTTCTTCTTTGGCTTCACAAGTAGTTGAGACTACAGGATTGGCACATATTGACTCTTAAAATACTGCATCTAGGTTCTGGTTTACTTTGTTTTGGCTGCTGTAGTTAGGCATATTGTTACTTAGCTCAGCTACCACTTCCAAAAAGTAGTTGTGCTAAATGTAATAAACTGTTGGGTATGATGGTACACTCCCATAACCTCAGCACACAGAAGGCTAAAAAATGGGAGATCATAAATGACAAAGAGAAAAGTTATTATTTGTTTGCGACGTTTCTGTCTTGCCGGTTCCCGCAATCATTAAGTCCCAAAGAAGTCACACAGAGGTCTACATTAGTTATAAACTGATTGGTCCATTACCTTAAGCTTCTTATTAACTCTTATAACTTATATTAGTCCATTGTTCTTATCTGTGTAAGCCACATGGCTCAGTACCTTTTTCAGCGGCATAGTCACATCTTGCTTCTGTGTCTGGACAGGACTGAAGAGGTAGCTTCCCTCTTCCCAGAATTCACCTGTTCTCATTGACCTACCTCTACTTCCTCTCTGGTTGTCGCACATAAATTTCCTGCCTACCTAATAGCATATCAGCATTTATTTAAAACATAATTAACGAAATATAGACAATTGTCCTGCACCTTTTATTTTTTTAAAAAGTAAGTATAAGTTGGTCCCATATGCTTTATTAGAACATAAAATGCATGGCAAACCCCACTATGTTCTAAAATACAAACATTAGCTCGAGAATAAACTTTAAATTATGTGTGTTGCCTGATATATATTAAGGACCATAGGCATCTCAAAATAAAATTGTTTTGTGCACTAGTTTTAACTGTGTCTGGTTAAAGCCTGTCTCACAAAAGGAAAGTGGTAATCATTCTAGACTCATCTTTTATGAATGCCTGAGAAATAGTTTAAAGTTATATTAACTGACTAGCATAGAATTAATGACCTTTTTTTCCTCAGAGTGTATATGTGTACATTCATGTGTGTCACATGCACAGGTGAGATCAGAGGACAACTTTAAGGAGTTGACTCCTTTTCCCACTATAGACCAAGGGTCTCAAACTCAAGTGGGCAGACTTGCAGAGGAAGGACTTTCACCCACTCAGCTGTCCAACCAACCCACCCCTTTGTTTTAAACAAGAATGAACGTGCCACATTAAGCAGTGATCCAGGCTGCAGAGGCTGCTGGAGAACCTTTTATCCTTTCCTCTTGAGAATTCTCGGCCTGCAGACAGAGCTTTTCCAGAGCGCTTGCCTGAAGCATCCAGAGCCCTGGGCTCTGTCAGCCCCTCAGCAGTAACAGCCAAGCTCCTAGGGAAGTGCCCACATGGCAGGGCATGTACAGCAGATTCCACTTCTAGCACAGTTTATCACAGGATAACTCAGCCTCTGGTCGTCAGCTCTGTGGGACTACAAAGTACCTAGGGTTCAAACTTACCACTCCTAAGGAGAGTGATTCACAAGAGAGCAGACTGAAGTAGCATGAAGGTATCGTCATTAGCCACCAGTGGGCTCCCTTTCTGCTTACAGGAATGTTTGCTGCCCGTCTACGCTATCTCTTCCACATCAACAGGGTCATGAGAGGGTTTCTTAGTAAGCACAGTATTGATGAAAGGGTGTGTGTCTGTCTTGGGAAATATGTACTTTATCTAGGCTGTGGAATACTCTGATTAGCCGTTCTCAGAGTCACGTGTTGTGAGACAGTATGATTCCAACATTTATGGAGGCTGAGGAAGGAGAATCACCAGTCAGAGGCCACACTGGGCTACATAGTGAGTTCCAAGGCAGGCTGAACTACACTGGTCAAATGCTTCATGTTTGAAAACAGAACTTTCTCTTGGGTCACAGCTCTAATAGTCTCCTCTTAGGGCTCCACCTTCCACGGCATTATTCACCTGAAGATTCTGACTTTCATAATTAGTCCCTGTCTGTCTAATTGGAATTCGACAATCATAATCCATTTCAATTTTTCATAAGGTGCAAATCCTTTTTCTTCTGCCAGTCTTATTGATGCATAGTAGTGACTCAGCTTTTGTTCTGGCTTGTTTGTCTGAGTCTTTGTTTAAAATAATACTATCATTTTATGTGTGTGGATGATTTGCCTGCATGTAAGTCTGTGTACCATATGTGTGCAGTGCCCATTGAGGCCAAAAAAGAGTGTCAGATCCTCTGGACTAGCATTACAAAGAGTTGTGAGCCACCATGTGGGTGCAGAGAACAACAACCAGCTCCTCTACATTAGCAGCAATTACTCTCAGACACTGAGCTATCTCTGTAGCCTCAGATTCATCATCATCATCATCATCATCATCATTATTGTTATGTGTTGTTTTTTATGTTTAGACATATTTTACCTGCATACATGTGTGAACCACATATGTGCCTATTGTCCAAGGAAGTCAGAGACAGCTCAGATGCCCTGGGACTGGGGCTGTGAATAGTTGTGTGGTGCCGTGTTGGTGATGGGAACAAACCAGGTCCTGTGCAGGAGGACCACTGAGCCACGCCAGCCACAGCATTCTTCTTAAAGAAGACTAAGTTTGTGCATTTTATGTCAAATTATATTTTTTAGTAAAATTCCTGGGTTGACTTCAAAATATCTACCCAAAATGTGTATTCTAATCCCTATTCATATTTAGAAGTAATAGATTGTGTACATCTTTATAGCACAGTTAATGGCAGCTTTTCAATCTTTTCTTCTAAGGAATTTAGATAACTGCCTACTCCATTTTTATTCAAATTTAAATTTCCAATTAGAAAAAAATGAAACAAACTGAATAGAGAATCATGTCTTTATTTTTAAAATCTACTTTTCACAATCAGTTGTTTCTGGAATACACCATCAAATGCTATGAGAGTTTCATGGCCGGTGCTGACGACTTTGAAGAGATCAATGCAGAGCTGCAGTCCAAGCTGAGTAAGTGCCCTCCCTGCTGTGCTGCCACTTACCTCTGGGTGCCTGCTTGTTTTGTCATGCCTGATGTTCTCATTAGCTACTTTATGAGGTGGGTACCTGTGAGTTGGTCTTTGATGGTTCTTTAATGGGAACAAGTAATACTTAAGCAAAAAATAGTCAACCCTGAGTCATACCCCTTTGGGCTACATGAATTCAAGACATGTTTGACCTCTTTGAAACTTAGTGAACTAGAAAGCAATGTAATAAAATACCGAATGAGCCAGGTGATGGTGGTGCATGCTTTTAATCCCAGCATTTGGGAGGCAGAGTTCGAGGCCATCCAGGTCTACAAAGTAAGTTCCAGGAGAGTCAAGGCTTCACAGAGAAAGGCTGTTGTTTCAGGGGGAAGAAAAAAAGGAAGAATGAAAGAGAGAGAGAGAGAGGTTAGAGGAAGTTAACAAGCCATTATAATTCCATATACGTTATTTTTCTCTCAGTATTACCTAGTGATGCGGGAATATTACTTTGACACCTATGGCACAAAAGGTCAAAGGGGAAAACCAACATTCCCCAGGATGCACTTGGGATGTAAGAGTAGAGGACACTCCAGCTGTTGTAACTATCTTCCATCTGTCCAGGGAGCAGATGGATACATTTAAAAAGGCAAAACATGAGGGTAAGAGAAAAGGTTCAGTCTATAATGTCCATCCTCAATAAGAATGAGGACCTGTGTCTAATTCCGACACCCATAAAAATGTCGAGTGTAGCAGGTGGAAATGTAGAGACTTGAGCTCCCTAGAGCTTGTCAGCCAGCGAAACTGACCAGACTGGGGAGAGATCTTATCTAAGACAGTAGATGGAAACAGCTGAGTAAGGCTCACAGTGTAACCTCTGACTTCTGTATGCACACATGCATACTCATGACCACATAAACATGCATAACACACACAAGGGAAAATTCATTGTGATCTAATATGGAAACCATTTAGTGAGTTATTTAATGTTTCTATATATAATTAAACATATACTAATCTACTCAAATATTTTTTCATTCCTACTGTGTGTCAGGCACTAAAAATGCAGTTATGAGGAACAGAAAATCTTGACTTTATTCTGTTGGAAAGAAAGTAATGATAATTAAATGAGGAACCATAAGGACAATAACAACAGGTGCTATGAAAGAAAGCTTAAGCAGGTTGAGGGCAATAGACTATTCCATGGAGTAAAAATAACACTTGATGTTATAGAAGGTAGTATCTACTGCATTGGGGGAAAGGGGGAATAAGGTCCTGAAAACTTGAAGGATGCTGTAGGTTGATTCTGATGAAGTGTTTGGGCTTTTTTCCAGAGGATTTATATAAGGTAGATGTGTCCAAGCTGCAGTCGTTAGCAGAAGAAAACAAAAAACTCAGTGAACAGATTGCAAGATTGGAGCAAGAAAGAGAAAAAGAACCGGTTAGTAACCGTGTTTTTGAACTCACTTGACAGCTCTTTAGACTCTTGAGCCTGTTTGACAAGACCCTCTTATGGAAGGTGCTTTTAAATGGGTTAAAAAAATAAGCTTCTTAAAGGTAAGATAGTATAGACTTTCAGTGAAGCCATGTGTGGTATCTGCGGTGCTTTGTTTTCTCTTGTGGTCTACTACTCGTGGACTAATGGTGCTGGGAATATGATGAAAGCTTCCTGCCTGTTTACATAAGGCCCAAACTAACCTTTGAACAGGGTCCCTGGGGTATTTACTTGCAAGAAACATTGTTCTCAAGAGGTCCTGAGTTTAGGTAGTGAAAACACGGTGGTAACAAACTGGCTTATAGAGAATACTGTAACATGCATGTTTTTATAAAAGCAAGATAATATTGTGGTTGTTTATTTTAATATGTATGGGTATTTTGCCTACATGCATATCTGTGTACCACATGCTCACAGTGCCTGTGGAGAACAGAAGAAGATGTCAAATCTGAACTCAAGATACAGAGAGTTGTTAAATTGAATCCAGGTCCTGTGAAAGCAGGCAGCGTTCGTAACCCTAAGCCAACTTTCCAAACCTGGTAGCAGAATCTTTATCTTGGTTTTATTAGTGGAGCATGCAGATTGTTCTGAAAAGTAATCAGATATTAAGTATATGTGTTTCTACATTATCCTTGGTCTTCCCCTATTATAAAATGAAGTCTTTCATTAAATTTTTACGTAGTAAAGTAATAATAGTAGTAATACCAAAGTTCTTTTTTTTTGTTCTTTTGACTTTCTCTAAGATAAGTGTAAATAATATTGTTTTCTTTAAAATACAGAATACTTCTTGGTAAAAATAACTTAGTATGTTTTTTCTTCAAGAATCGCCTAGAATCATTGAAGAAACTGAAAACTTCCTTACAAGAAGATGTTCAAAAGTATAAAGCATACATGAAGAGTTTGGAGTCACAGTCGTCCGTCCTAGACCAGCAACTGAGTGGTCTTGATGACGAAATTGGGAGGCTACGTAAGCAGAGCTAAGGGATCATGTAGCTTGGCCTACGGGCTATATAAACAGCTGTGACCTTTCCTTCTTTGATAACTTTCTGTAGTAGTTATCAAGTTTTCAGTATAGCTCATTCATCCAGGCGCAGTAGCGCACACCTTTAATCCTAGCACGTGGGAAGCAGAGGCAGCTGGATCTCTGTGAGTCTGAAGGCAGCCTGGGCTACAAAATGAGTGACAGGACAGCCAGAGCTGTATCGTGAGACCCTGTCTCGATAAAAAAAGACAAAATAATAAGTGTTGTTTGGGTTTTCATCCTGCCTGGTTTCTGTCCTCCCAAAAGGTAGAACAGCCAGTCATCCCCATAGAAAGCACACAGAGGTCTATAGTAATAATAAACTGATTGGCCCATTAGCTCAGGTTTCTTATTAACTCTTATAAATTATATTAACCCGTTGTTCTTATCTATGATAGCCACATGGTTCGATACCTTTTTCAGCGGGGCTACCACATCTTCCTTCTTCTGTGTTTAGGACGGGAATGAGGAGGAATGGGCTTCCTCCTTCCCAGAATTCTTCTGTTCTCCTTGACCCACCTCTACTTCCTGCCTGGCTACTGGCCGATCAGCGGTTATTTAAAACACAATTGACAGAATATTGACAATTGTCCTGCACCAGTTAAAAATTACTTTTTCTCTCATAGCTCAAAATGTAATTTAAGAGCCAATAAATATGTGCTTACCAGAGGACTCAGGAAGAATCTGTTTTTCCAGTTTCTATGGCTGATAGCATACCTAGGTTTATGTCCACATCACTTTAATCGCTACCTCCATCTTCTTACTGTCTCTTCTCTGCATCCTCTTTTATCTTCCTTTTTTAAAACTATATTTGTATCCCATGCTGGTTTTGTATTGGCCCCAGCCTACAGCAGGCTGCAATAATACATAACCCAAGGTCATCCCAGACTCAGAATATTGCCTCCAAAAATTAGAATGATAAATTGCCGCCACACCCTTCTTGTTTCTGTTCTCTTTCTTGGTCTTTTCTCTTTTCTGTTCTTTTTTTTTTTTTTGGTTTGTTGGTTTTTTTGTTCTTCTGAGATAGGGTTTCCCTGTGTAGTCCTGGCTTTCCTGGAACTCTCTTTGTATTCCAGGCTGGCCTTGAACTCACAGAGATCCACTTCCCGAGTGCTAGCATTAAAGGTGTATGCCATTCCTGCCCAGCTCTTCTTTTTTTTAAGTTTTAAGTGTATGTTAATTTTATGTGTAGCACATGTCGACCTGACACCCTCAGGTCAGAAGAGGGTGTCAAATCTGCTGGAACTGGAGTCAAAGATGGTTGTATATGTTATCTGTGTGAGGACATTCCACAGGATACAAGTGGAGGTAAAAGGACAACTCTTGCAGTCCATTCTCTCCTTGCAGCTTTAGATAGTTCTGGGTATCAATCTCAGTTTGGCAGGCTTGCTCAGCAAGGACTCTGCCTGTTGAGCATCTTACTGGCCCTAACCAGCTAGACTCTTGATCTCTGCCTCCTTCTGTTGCCTGTAACTATCGTATCCTCTACCAGTGCCATGTAAGCAAGTCCGCAGCTGACACAGATTAAAAACAAAGTGGAAAGCTGCTCGTGCCCCATGCTCTACATGCAACAGCACAGCAAAGGATGCGCCTGAGTGTCCTGTGTCTTCCTAACATTGGATTCAGGAGCACATGCCTACTGTAGTTAAGCTTTGGAAAATACTATGACACATAGACCTTGTTAACTTCTGTGATGGAGAAACAGAGCAGAAGTTGACTTCAGTCACAGAGCCATTAAACTACAGTTTAAAAATAAATATAAGGAGAGCTGCAGTTTTCCTAGAATTCTGCACTTTCTTCCTTCCTTATGTCACTCTTTTTTGGTTTTTCGAGACAGGGTTTCTCTGTAGCTTTGGGGCCTGTCCTGGAACTAACTCCTGTAGACCAGGCTCCTGTAGTTCCAGACCAGGAACTCACAGAGATCCTCCTGCCTCTTCCTCTCACTTATGTCACTCTTCATGTCTATCATATGTAGATTGTGAATATGGTCTTTAGAGTTTGGGAGTTAACTCTTAATCTATGTAGTTCTAATCATCTACAAAACCAAGGCTTATAATTGTCACATAGTATATACTAAAATCAAGTTTATACAAAATACTACAATTGTGTATATTGTGTTTGCTGTAAATGAACTCTCACTGTTTTTTTAGCCCTTGATCAATGTCCTATGCTTTTCCATATCATAAACTATTCTCTTAATCCCAATGTAATTAAATCAATACTAATATTATACTTTTCTTTACACATGGTCAAAAGAATTAGTACATATCTTCTTTTTATGAGTGTATATAAAGTGGCATATGTATGTCTATGTGTGGGTTTATGTACATGTGCTGTACGTGCATACATGTGGAACATGGAGATTAATACCTAGGTCTTCCTTGATCACTCTGCACCTTACTTTGAAACATGGCATCTCTCTAAATTGGGTGTTCATCTGTTCAGGTAGGCTGGCGGCCACTGACCTCTAGGGATCTCTGTCTGTCCACCTTCCACCCATAACAAGAGGGTCCTAGATGCGTGCCCAATGACCAACTTTTATGTGGGTGCTGGATCTAAACTCAGGCCCTCCTTTTCTCGTACCACGGACTCTTTACCAACCACACCACTTTGGCACCTCCTTATTCTTAGGAGAATATTACCTCCAAAAATTGCCAGCTGAGTAGATGAGAGAGTAATATCATCTGTCATTTGTTTTAATTCTCTGACTTGGTTAACTTCCTTGATTACTTAAAGCCATTCAAGACTACAATTGAGGAGGACATACTTAGATTCTGTAGATCTATCATGCTTTTGTGCAGAGACATAATAGAGGCATAAAGTTACTTAAGCCAGCTCAAGGTAGAGTTTACCAACAATTGTGTAAAAACCACATTTCTGAATAGTTCAAATTTGTAAAAGAGTATTAGAAGCATTTAAAATGAACCTAAAAAGTTGAACTATGCCTGTTTACAAGTTTTAAATGTAACTTTGGATGGAGCCACAATTTGTCTGACCCTTCTTTCTGAAACTGTAGTAAGGCAACCATGGAAGATATCAAGCTAAAGCTCTAGTTGTATGGCTTATGTCATTAATGGGGTAGGATCACTTATCCATAAGAAAGGATGTATATGTATATACATATATATATATGTACACACACACATACACATGTATATATATAGTCAACATTTAAACAATCATAAATGGTGCCATCAGGTTCTCTGTAGAGTATTTTTTTAAAAAATTGAAAGATTTTGTTTCTTCTCTTGCAGAATTAGAATGTCAAGCAATGAGAGAGGAAAATGCTCGGCTACAGAATATAGTTGATAACCAAAAGTACTCGGTTGCAGACATCGAGAGAATAAATCATGAAAAAAATGAGTTGCAGCAGACCATTAATAAATTAACCAAAGACCTAGAGACTGAAAAGCAACAAATGTGGAATGAGGAATTAAAATATGCCAGAGGCAAAGAGGCGGTAAGTCATACTGTATTCTGAGTGACCACTCATCATGGAAGACCTTACTAAAGGCGTGAGTAACCAAGGGGAATTCAGTAGGTAGAGGGATAAATTTTTCTAACACTGACATTTAGCACAGCTAAAACACTCATATTCATATGCCAGCTCATCAACACCTCTATTATTTATCAGTCAAATTTAAGATAAACTCAGTTTTCTGATGATGAACTATGATCTCAACAAATAAATAAATGCACGTATGTGATTCTAACGTAAGGTGACAAAACAGTTCACTGTAAGTGGTCATCCATCTTCCCTTATCTCCTACTCTGGTAGGCAAGCTCCATCCCTGGGTATAACGGAAATAGGTATACATCTGTATACACATTTATAAGAGCTACCATCATTATGGGTCTACATAATGATGGAACACAAGCTTAGCATGCTCAAGGTATCAAGTTCAATACATAATACTATTGAAAAGGATGTGGCACCCAATCTTGGAGCCTAGAATTTGGTCAAACTTGATTTAGCTTTAGCCTGTAATTTCTTATTAACAGCATGCACAGTCCGTATCATCTAGCCTTTTATACTCTCCACTTGCTTCTTTAGAAAAGGAAGTGTAGGAGGCGGAGAGAGGCCGATGTCTGTGAGTTCAAAACCAGCCTAGTCCACAGAGTGAGTTCTACAACAATCTCTAAAGCTCCAGAGAAACCTTGTTTTGAAAAAAAATAAAAGAAAAAAGAAAATGAAGTGTAATTAGACCACATCAGTTAATCTGAAGTGAGTTACTTCAGAATACCTTATCTCTCAGAGGCTGTGTAAGAAAGGAAAGGTTATAAATCTCTGGAATAAGTAAACATTGGGTTTATGAAACTAAAAAGGATAGCATTTTTTTGGTTGAACACTCTGAAAGAAGAAAATAATCTAGGGGGTAGGTAAACTGTGTCCTAGGGAGGGGTCTGACTCTGGCCATGAGAAAGGAACTAAGTGGGCTGGTTACCTGAGAGCTAAGAGTATCAAAGGTCTGTATAGGTTACAAAAACTCACCTAAGCAATGCATCTGTAACCTTTTTATGTACTAATTTGCCCTACTTGTCAAGTCTGGTAGTATAGCAGAACTCTTGTGAAATACAACTATAAATATATAGTTATATTTATATAAATATAACATCTAGAACTCTCTTGAAATATGTTTACGACTGCATCTAGATCATCAGAAGTGTTGACTGTGAGAACTAATAATGAGAGAAAGAACTAGAGACATAAGCAGTGAACTCCTGGAAGCTTTTTCATTAGACTGAAAAGAGGAGCGGGAAGCAGTAGAACAGACCACTGATTGGGCCTTCAGAGCAACAGAAGAGAACAGAAACTGCCAGGCTGTGTTCTAGGGCCAGGGGAGGAGATACACACACACACACACACACACACACACACACACACACACACACACAAAGATATATATCAGACTCTAGAGCTTACATTCAGGTAGTAAGAGTGAACAGATATGTCATATTGTAAAGTAAATTAAGAGTTTGGGAAAACTGGGGACTCCATTAGAGGGAGAAAACACTGTTCTGGTAACAGATGTACCCTTAAAGGACACAGAAATATGAACTATTAAAAATTTTTTCAATATATTTGAAATAATACTTTGAAATGTAAATTATCTATATCTTTTACTTGGTGTAATGAAAAGGTTCTAATACTATAGTATGTAAGTTTTGAGTTCCCCCTCACATACTTTGGATTTTCTCTTTTGTTTTTGTTTGTTTGTTTGCTTGCTTGCTTTTTCCAGGCAGAGTGTCTCTGTGTGTAACCCTGGTTGTCCTGGAACTCCCTCTGTAGACCAGTCTGGCCACAAACTCACTGAGATCTGCCTGCCTCTGCCTCAGCCTTCCAAGTGTTGGGATTAAAGGCATGCCCAGCTCTAAACTTTGATCTCATTTCATATTTATATCTAGATTTATATGGAGTAAATGAACAGTGGTATACTTCTCACCAATCAATAACTAGAATTGTTGCCTTAAAATTATTGTTCAGACCTTTCATTTATATATTTAATATTACTATCCGTTAGCCACCAAACTACTAAAAACTGGCATAACTGCTTGTGTAGAGTTATAGAAATGATCATTGAAAACCACACAGTCTAGGACTGCTTTATTTTTAGCATTTCTTTTTGTGTTCTCTTTACTAGATTGAAGCACAATTAGCAGACTACCACAGATTGGCTAGAAAATTAAAACTTATTCCCAAAGGTGCTGAGAACTCCAAAGGTTATGACTTCGAAATCAAGTTTAATCCTGAAGCTGGTGCCAAAAGCCTTGTCCAATACAGGACTCAAGTATATGTAAGTCTGTGTCTGAACCTCACTTTACCATAGTGCCATAGGACAGGACTAAGAAGTAGCACTTTCTTCTAAGTGGTAGACATCTTATTTCCCACCTGACTTTTGACTTTAAAAGTTTATTCCTCTCTGCCTGCTTTACTTCATTCAAATATCCGTTAAAATATTGGTTACAAGTAAAAGATATCAGGACTATGTCAACAATCTGAGGTAAGCTTTGCTTTCTAGTTACCTTCAGTCCCTCTTGGAAGATCATCGTTACCAAATGTCAGGTGCCTGCTTTACTGATGATGAAACTTACAAGGTTAGTTACCTTGAACTCACAGAGATCTGCCTGCCTCTGCCTCTGCCTCTGCCTCAAGTGCTGAGATTGAAGGCATGTGCCACCACTTCCCAGCTGGCTGGTATATTGATTTCTGTTAGTAGCCAGGTATCTGGCTGATATTGCATATCACTACTTTGAGTGGTTTCATATTACTTCAGCAATAAATTAATTGCCTAATTTAAATAATCTTGTAAAGGGTATTTAGGCACAAAGAATATGTTCATAAAATTTACTTTTACTCTAGAAATATTTTGTACAGTAATGAGCAATGGACGTAGAAGTAGGAAGCTGGAGAGAAGGCTCAGTTGTTAGGAACATGTGCTGCATGTAGAGACATCCCCAATGAGAAGTTCAGGGCCTGCTGCATCTAATTCACACCTAATTTTACTCCAGCTCCAGGAGATTCCCATGTCTCCGGCTGCTACAGGCATCTGCATTCAACATGCACATGTATCCACAGAATTAATATAAATAAATCCCAAAGGGAGAAATTAGAAATAGTTAGGAATGAAGGAGAGCATCTGTCATCCCAGCCAATTGAAGAGAGTTGTAAAAAGGCATTGAGTCTCAAAAAACAGGCCTGGGATGGGTTTTTTGTTTTGCTGTGTTGTGCTGTTTGGGGTTTGGCAAGGATTTTCATTTGTTTTGCTTTTTCTTCGAGTGTGAGAAGACATGTGGGAGAGTGCATTCCGTGACACACATGTGGAGGTCAGTTCTCTCATCCACCTTAGGTGGTTTCTGAGGATCAAACTCAGGTCTCCAGGCTTGATCAGCAAGCTCTTTACCCACTGAGCCATCTTTCACATCCTGTTTTTGTTTTGTTGAAACTGTAACTCGTAGTCCAGAGTGGCCTCAGATTGCTGTGGTGACAGGCTTGTACAACCACACCTATCCCCAGGAGTTGGGTTTATATTCAGTGATAGAGCCCATGTTTGTTGTAGAATGTCTGGGTTTGATGGACAGCATAAAAAAGGAACTGATCAAAGCTAGAAGTCAATAATAGCTTTAAAAGACTTACTCGTGAACCAGGTGTGATGACACAAGGCTGTAATCCCAGCAGTCAGGAGGCAGGGACATTTTAAAGTGGGTATTACCTCAGTTTTCTCAATGCAGTATAGTGTGGAAATAAAATCAGCAGGTTAGAAGACAAATAGAAGTTCAACAAGAATCTTAAGCAAAGTATAAAGAGAAATGGGGGCTGGAGAGATGGCTCATAGTTAAGACTGTTTACTGCTCTGGGAGGGGGCCAGGTTCTATTCCCAGTCCCCACATCAGTCACCTCATAGACTCCTGTAGCTCCAGCTCCAGGGAGACCCAATTCTGGCCTCTGCAAGGACCCGCACTTATGCATCCAGACACAAAAACAGATATGGACAGAAGTGGACTGTCAGGCACTGTGACGGATACCCATAATCCTCTCACTTAGAAGAAGGTTGAGACCAGATGTTTATTCTTTCCTAAGCCTTGGCTTCAAGAAAATAAGATGTTTTCTCACCAATGGTATGGTATATTTAAAATTGCATGGCTTTTTTTTTCTCTGAAACTGTCTTAGGTCATAATATAATCATACTTCGTGGGAATTTTATAATATATCTTGACTCCCATATTTCATATATTTTCTAGGTACCTCTCAAAGAACTCTTGAATGAAAGCGAGGAAGAAATTAGCAAAGCCTTAAGTAAAAAGATGGCTTTGGAGGACACTTTAGAGCAAGTAAGTGTGGAGCATGTAATGCAGCCTAGCGTCGAGTGTGACTTGTGATTGCTGAGCAACGTGGATTAAATTCTGGTTTGTCTGAGACAGGGCTTCTCTGTGTAGCTCTGGCTGTTGGTGGCACTCACTCTGTAGACCAGACTGGCCTTGAACTCACAGAGATCTTCCTGCTTCTGTCTGAGTGCTAGGATCAAAGGTGTGAGCCACTGCCACCCAGTTTTATTCTTTTTTGTTTTTCAAGTAATCTGTAAGTAAAACCCACAGCCTTACATAAATAGTTATTCAAATAATCCACATAAAGTTGTTTTCACTGTTAAATTCTATGGCATCTGACCTTATGGGCTACAAACATAGCCCTGTGGTAAAATACTTTCTTAGCATATGGCTGCAGCCCTGGCTTCAATTCCCTGTACCAACAGAAAAAGAAAACACCTACTTTTTTACTGGGAGGACCTTTTCCTCTCCTCAATAAAGTAGATGTCAGGAGTCTGCCTTATCCTGGCAATTCCAGCACTTTGTTATCAGAGGCTGGGAAGATTGCAAGTTTCAGGCCAGGCTGGGTCACATAGTAAGACCCTATCTAAAAAAACTTAACAGCCAGGAAATTGTAAAATGAAAAATGGTCTATGTTTAGTAAGAGTGCAAGTTAGTCTGTGTATTTAAAAATTTAAACAAAAATCAATCTTTAAAAAACAGTTAATGAGGGGCTGAAGAGATATCTCAATGGCTAAGAACACTGCTTACTCTTCCAGAGGTGCTGAGTTCAGTTCCCATCAACCACATGGTGGCTCACAACCGTCTATAGTGGGGTCCGATGCCTTCATCTGACATAAAGTTATATGTGCAGATGGAGTACTCATATACATAAAAATAAGTCTTTAAATAGAAAAAGAAGGAAGGAAGAAAAAGAAAGGAAGGAAGAAAAGTTGATGAAGCCCGTGGTGGTAGTGGTGACAGCACACGCCTTTAATCCCAGCACTCAGGAGCCAAAAGCAGGAGGACCTCTATGAGTTAGAGGCCAGCCTGTGCTACACAGTGAGTTCCAGGACAGCCAAGGCTACAGAGAAACCCTGTCTCAAAAAACCAAAAGAGTTGATGATGTAAACATTTGATCAGTAGGACATACCTATAATCCCAGATTTAGAAAGCAGGAGAATCCAGTATTCTGGGCTACATAAACCCATGACTCAAAAAACAAACAAACAAAAAAACAAAACAACAGCAACAAAAACTATATATTTTTGGAACTGGAGGGTTTGTTCAGTGATTAAGAGCCCTGGTTGCTCTAGCAGAGGACCTAAATTCAATTCCTTACACTCACACAGAAACTCAAGACCATCTGTAACTCCAGTTCTTCTCATTCTAGGAGCAGGTAACACACATGCGTACATGCAGGGAAGACGTTTATCTGCATAAATATTTATGTATATAATAATTGATGAGAGGCTGAAGAGGTAGCTCAGCAGTTAGAGCACTTGTGCTTCCAAAGGGCCTGTGTTCGTTCCCAGCACCCACTAGGTCGATCACAGCCCTTAGTAACTCCAGTCCCACAGATCTGATGCCCTCTTCTGCCCTCCTTGATCATTGTGTGCACATGATCTATATATGCTTACAAAACACCCAGACACTTAAATTATTTTAAAACTAATTGAGATAGACACGGTGGTGCATACCAGTAATGCCTGCACTCTGGAAGCTGAAAGGAGAATCTTGAGTTCAAGGTAAGCCTGAGCCACATAACAAGTCTAAGGTTACCCGGGTATGTATAGCAAAAACCTTTCTAAGTTTTAGAAAATAGATATTAAGATGGTTGACAGCATGAACAATAAAATGTCAAAGTACCCATAAAAAAGTAAAATTGATTACCTCTCAATGAAAGATTTCATTAACAAATTATTTTACAGCTGAATACTTTCAAATATTAAAGGTCAGATGACTTTTAGACATGAAAGTTGTCACAGAACATAAACATATAATTATCAAGAGGCTACTATAGGCCTGTGCAACAACTTATAGGCATCACAGTAAAATTAAACCAATCACTGACAGACATAAAATGCAAAGCTCAATAATTGCATCGAAATGTATTTGGCAAATATGCTTTTCTTATTTAAGACAAGATCTTGCTCAGTATAGGTGAGTCTCTAGCCCACAATCTTCGGGCCTTACTTAGTCCTCTAAATGCTGGAATTAGATGCATGCATGCCAACCACTGGCTCAGCAAATGCTTTTTTATGACCATGTGCCTGGTACTGTAATAGATGTCTCTGTACTACTATAGCACAACACCTGCCCCATGGACATCATTTCAAGTGCGCCGATGGCTATAAGAACAAGTATTTTCCATTACAAGATTATTAAGTTAGCTACAAAGTAGTAGATTTCATAATGGCATTTTTTACATGCTTTCTTCTTCCATACCCTGCCCTCTGACCTTTGCCTTCCCCTCCCCTGTGTCCCATTCTTGCTCTTAGTCCATTGCCTACAACAACCTAATTTCTGCTTTCCCAGTACAATGTTGTATTATTACTTTCAGGGCCCTGTACCCAAACCCTTCAGGTCTCTTTTTCCCTCTCACAGTTCTCTAAGTTCTCTAGTTTCATCCACACATGTACACCAACCCACTCACACATAGAAACTTAAATCAAGGCTCCACACATGAGAGAAAACAGAGTACTTATCTGAATATAGTCTATTTCAGTTAACATTCTGAATTGCAATTTGACCTTCAATTTTCCTACAGATATCATTTTTATTACTTTTCAATATGTGTTTATGTGTGTGTGTGTGTGTGTGTGTGTGTGTGTGTGTCCCCACAGAGATGAGAGATGTCAAACCCTCCTGAGGGCTGGTGTTACAGGTGGTTGTTAACAGCCTTGTATGAGTGTTAGGAATCTTATGCTGGTCCCCTGGAAGAACAAGAAGTGCTCTTAATCACTGAGGCATATAGCCAGATCATGTGATAGTTTTGTTTGTAGTTTTCAAAGATTTGTTTGTCTTTATTTTTATGTGTGTGAGTATGTTTCCTGCATACACGTGTACATCCCTGGTGCTTGTGGAGGCCAGAAGAGGATTCCCTGAAACTGGAGTTATAGACGGTTGTGAGCCACCAAGTGGGTGCTGGGAACCAAACCCAGGTCCTCTGTATGAGCAGCCAGTGCTCTTCACTGAGCCATCTCTCCCACCTCTTTCTCCTTTTTGACAAACCTACTTACTGATTTCCACAGTAGCTGCAATTTATAGTCTCACTAGCAGTGAGTAAAGGTTCCTCTTTCCCCAAATTCCTGCCGGCATTGGTTGTCAACTGTTTTCTTTTTTAAAGTCATTCTGAGCTAGTAAGGTGGCATTATAAATCATTTTGAATTCATCTTTCCCTGATGACTTAGGATGTTGAAACCCTTCATCGAATATCATTGGCCATTTCTATTTTTTCCTTTGAGGACTGTCTGCTCACTTCATTACCTCATGTATGGATTGGATTTGGTTTAATTTTGGCTGTTTTTACATACCAGACCCCTATCAGATACAGAGTTGGCAATGATTTATCAAATCTCTAAGCTGTCTCTTCAGTTGTGAGGTTGCTTCCATTGTTAGGCAGGATTTTAATTTGCTATAATCCCATGTGTCCGTCCTTGGGTTGTGTTCTCTGCTGTCACAGTCCATTCAGAAGGTCCTGCCTCTGCGTAGGATGATTGTTGACACAGGACAGAGTTGATGTGTCTTCCCTGCAGTTTCAGCATGTCCTGTCTTCACATGAAATCTTAGATCTATTTTCAATGTTTCATGTAGTGTGAGACTCGAGACCGGATTTCATTTTTCTACAGGTACATACCCAGTTTTCTCAGCACCATCTGTTAAAGAGGCTCTTTCCTAATGTATGTTTTTGACATCTGTGTTCAATGAAAAAAATGAAGTAGCTGCTAGGGCTGGAAAGATGACTCCATGAT